TTTTTTGGCAAAATTTTTGTACTTTTACTTTTAAATCATTATGAAAAACATATACAAGATCATCAGTATCATTAAATAGACAAAAAATGTCAAATGTCAAAATTTTTTGACAGAGAATTTTTTAAACATTTTCTCAGTACTTTGGGGGACACTTGTATATTTACAAAATTTCCAGACTGATAAGTGATTTTTTGTTAAATTAAATTAAAATAACTATAAATAACTCTTTTTTCCAAAATTGCAAAAGAAAATGGAATTTTGAGTTACCGGAAGGATTACAAGTCGTTTAAGCGAAGTACTAAAACAGCATTTGAATGGTTTTTTATAAGATTGGCCCCATTTTTTGTAAAATAAATAAAGGATGATGGGGGGCTAATTTTTATAACACAAGTGCATTTATGCCTGATTTCATGGAAGTTACTTAATCGTAAGGAATTATTAAAAGAAACCAATGAGACGCAGAACAAAAGCAAGAAATCAACCAATAAACGAAAAATACTTTCAAATTATACCAAAAAGACTTTCAACGGCGACAATAATGTTACTGCCAATGTCAAATTGATAAATTCACTTGAACATGACATTTAAGTGGTGTAGTTCTTAGAGACCCTTTAATTGTAATTTACATTGTGATAATTTTTTTTCTTTCGCTTTTGTGTTGGTAATGAAAAAATGAAATTGATGACGCACCGGTCTACTTTTACTAATTTTTTCACTAAAATTTTGACTTGGTATTTTTATTGAAAAAACCTCGACTTTAAATTGCTTGGCTTAAGTCGAGCCACTTTGTCAAAAATGAATCGGATTTGTAGTGACACATGTCAGGAAGTTTCCAATTAGAAGATCCGTCGTTATAATGTTCGTAAAAGCGTGAAATCAGTTCGGTCACATCCGTTTTTGAAACAATAAAGCATGATGTGACTTGGTGTTGGGCCACCATGCAGCTGCTTAGCGCTTATGTCTCATGGGTGGTTTGGCAGATTTTAGCAGATTGTTAACACAAAACACTCTATTATGAGCATTTGTCACTGTGGAGAGTTTCAGTTGGACTTAATTTTTTTTTATCTCGCTGTTCTTCGTAATAATCTGGTTAATGTCCAAGTGTAGGTCCCAATAGTCGTACCCCATTCGTATTTGATTTGGTTATAGGGGCTGAACGCGTGTGAACGTTATTCGCGTGTGGTTCACAACGCGGACACGTGCAAGCTCGTGCCGCGGATTTGCTACTGTTTCTGTTCATTTCTGCAGCTGCACTATCTGTGCAAAAGCTCCGAAGCGAAGCTCGAAAAATAGTGCGTGAAAAAATAATGCATCCTTGATTTTTATCTAGTCTTAATGAGGGGAGAATAATTCTTCTCGTGTAAAATTAATAGAATCAAAGGAAGAAAGCATAAGCATATTGCCTCATTTTCACAAAATTCTCCTACTAAAATGCCGGTTTTTTCTCTTTAGTGTATTTGGAATTAAAAGGATGTCACATTTTCCACCTTTGAAAATTTTAAATATGTACTCGAAAAATTCTTCGCAAATTTTGGAATTTGGAATATTACTTACAATTTCTTTATCATTTATTCATTTCTAGGGAGATTTTAATTTAACCAAGTTATTTATTCAGAAATTTACCAACAAAAAACATTCAATTTCTTTCTACGATTCCATAAAGTCAGTTCTCGAGTTAGTCCTCCAATGATAATTTTGTACCCTCTACTTTGATTTTTACTCTTTGTACTAAGTATTTGGGTGACTCTTTTTTTATACAGGGTGATTTTTTAAAAACCACAAACAACGACTCGATTTCAAAAATTGAAAAACTAAATTAAATGGCTTTTAATATAGTAAATTAGTTTAATATAGTATTTTAATATAGTAAGTTGACAATTTCAGAATTGTTTTGAATCTCATAGCATATTTTGGGCTATATTGAAATGTGTAATTCCAAATAGGGACCCAATTTTTTTCATTTTTTTATCAAAATTATAAATTATCGAAATTCAAAAAAAATTAATAAAAGGGAATACAATCTAGTTAATATTATTAAAAGTAAACAAAATAAATACATAATAATA